GTGATAGAGGGCATTTCCAACATACCTTTTTTGTTGCTTAATGCCCATCAGTTTGAATAGAGAAAAGCAATTTTGTAGGCAAAATCTTGGTTAATTTGTTTTAAATATGAATATTTAAATAGTTAATAGATATAACAGTAAAATACTTGTTGTTTTTTATAGAAGTAACCTTTAATTCTTACTTAGCAAGGTATAAAAAATAATGTAAAATGTAGAGATTTAAGCTGATTTATCACATACAAGACTCAAAAGGCTTGAGAGAATAGGTATATTTGAAAAATTACAAGTAGTTCATTTATTCTTGATTTCCAGTGTTTGAGGTGGTTTGTGAAAGACTGAGTGGGTTGATCCAGCTAAAGAACCTTGTTTATCATGCTAGAGAGTTTGGAATTCAAATAATGAATCAGCAAAAATATTATGTGTGAAAGAGTCATCATATTTGCATTTTAGGAAGTAGACCCAGGAAGCAAATTGGGACTGTATAAAAAAGAGGTAGTTCATCAAGGATACTACTGGGATAATCCTGAGAAAAATCAGGTAGCATATGAGGCAGTTACATTTAGAATGAATAAAGAGATAAGATTAAGAACATTAGAATATGACAAACGATGATAATTTGATATTTAAGATAAAGAACAAAAGTGATCATTTAGTTTCTGGTTTGAGAAAACTGGGGTCTCCTAAGGAGAAAGGGTAGAAAAACAAATTTAGGAATGATAATAACACTTGGATTCCAAACCTGGATTGCCATTTACCAGCCATGTGACAATAGAGAACTCACTTATTCCCTTCTGAGTTTCTTCCTATGTAAATTGGAGACAATTACTATATTTACCTTATGGGGTCACTGTGAGGATTAAATGAATTCATATATCTCATTATCAGTAACTGCAATCTCCCAATTCATATCGAATTTTCTCTATTAAAGGGGCACCATTATCCTTGACTCCTTATCTTTGACTCTATTGCAATTTACAATGTATTGTTCCTAACATCTGTTACTGCATCTCACTCTCCATATCCTTATTTCCTTCATTCCCCAGCTTAAATTCAATAGTCAATCTTTATAATTGTTAGTGTACATATGTTTTCAACTTCTTGGTTTTATCCCTTCATGATGTTTTGAAAAACACAGTTTCACTATGACAGGGCTATGAGAAGTATAACAGAAAGTGATTATAGAAATATACTCATTTAAGCTTACTGATTTTATTCTAAATGAATGATTGTTAAATAGAGGTGGCTTATCTCTTCCCCTTGGAAATCATAATATATTTTTTGATCCATTTAATTTCTACCTTCTTGGGCCACTGCTGGATAATGTCTTCCCATTCCTCAGACTTAGTATCCAACTTTCTATTTCTCTAAGTAAATAGACAAGTTATATCTTTTATTCCATTATTGCCTTCTTATCATAGCAGTTAGACTGTTCTTTTTAAAACATAAGTCATGATTTTCCTTTATGGACAAAAACATTTAATGTCTTCTTAAAATCAGAGTAAAAACAAATATCTTACTATATATAGCTCAACTGTATTACCTAACATTAAAATCTTGTGATCTCTTTGATCTTCTCTTCTCCAATTTTCCCCCTACATACTCAGGTCCAGCCATGAATTTCATGTTGGCCTTCAGGTATGCCGGGCATCTCTTACCTCAGTGTATGTGTCCTGGCTGGCTCCTGTTTGTGAAGCTCCATACTAAGAGCCATATGGTGACTCCTCCAAATGCCTTAACTCTTTACTCCAACTATCTCTTTAGAGAACTCTTTCCTGACTGTCTCATAATTGCAACCCCAGAATTTCTTTACCTGCTTCAGTTATGTTCTTTACTTTGAAAATTAATCATTTTTATTGTATATATTCAAGGTATAAAATTTAAATACTGTTAAACTAAAAACATGGTTGACCATTGTTTTGGTTGACCTTTTGCACTGGGCCCTACAGATCAGACAAAATCAAAATGAAATTAGTAATGCTAACTGCCACACAATAAAACTGCAACCGTAAGGAAGTAAAGCAATCCCCAAACAGGCTCTTTTTCCTAAAAATAGGAGAATCTATCTACCCAACTCAGTATAATAAGAAAGTTCCTATTGCTTTAATATTTATTTTAAAAGTAACCTGATGTTGTTTTTCTATTGCTGTTCCCTTGTCCACACCTTACACAATCCACTGTTCCACTATTGCCCAGTCAGAGCTCTCATGCTATTTTATAGAATGGGGCTGATCTTGAATAAAGAATCACAAGTAAAAGACGATTAGATTTATAACTACATTTATTATAATTTTGCCTATATGCAGGTGTTTTTCTGTTTCTTTTGACTAAAAACATATGCATGTATGTAAAACATACACACAAAGTAAAATGATTACTACAGTTAAGCAAGTTAACATACAATTTCCTCACATAGTTAAGTTTTTCTGTATGGGTGATAAAATCACCTGAAATCTAATTGCTTAGTAAGTTTCCAGTATACAACACAGTATATTCACTCTGGTTTTCATTCTGCATGTTAGATCTCCAGAATTTTCCATCCCACTAAAGTTAAACTTATCATTCTTTGACCAGTTTCTTCCCTTCCTCCTTCCCTAACCCTTGGAAGCCACCACTTTACCCTCGATTTCTATGTATTTAAAAGAACCAGGTACTAAATAATTCACTTATTTGTATTATTTATTGTCTATTTCACCTCACAGGGGAATGTAAACCCTATAAAGCAAAGATCTGTTTTGCTTTTTACTGTTTTTTTCCCTACCAATAATAGTGTGTGGTCAATGTTAGACACTGAATAAATATTTATTGAATTACTTTGTTAATACTTTTAGCATAGTGCCTGGTATATATTCTTAGATGTTACATTTTTATTATAGTAAACTAAAGTTGCAGACATTAAATTTCCATGACTTTTTTTAAAATGAGAAATGTATTTTAGGTGTAAAATAGTTTATTTTGCAAAATAAGTTTCACTTTAGAAACAATTTGGATTTCTAAGATCAATATCACCTCTGAATACCTGTTTCTCTTCCTACCAAGGTTTGTTCCTTTCAATTACTTTCTTCATGCATTTTTACTTCTATGTTTATAGAATTAAGTAATTATTTTGCCAGTACTTAAATTTATTGTTCAATAAAACAATTTAAACAACAGCTAATAGCAGTGCATAACTTTTTTCAAGTTTTTTGTCATCATATATGTGATAAATAAATAAGAACTATAATCATTACATTAATTAATAATATCTTGGGCATGTACTTAAAACAATATGGCAACAGGAGGTTGCAGCTGTGTACATATGTGATTCAGAACAGAAGGCTGAGCTGAGTAGACATTAACATAAACACAGGGATGCACCAACATGGGCAGTTTGACATCATAAATCCAGAAAAGATACAGAATGAAAAGGAACTGGGCAAATGTGGTATCAAGGAAGTCAATTAAAGGTAAACATTTGTGAAGGATGCAATGGCTAACAGTTGTCAAGTACATCAGAGTAGAGAGCACCATAGATATGATTAAATAGAAAATGTTGTGATATAATTCATGATTAAAACCATAGAAAAATAAAATGATTGAAATTAAATCTTCAGAATCAAGTGTGTAAGAGTAGCAACAAAAAACTGTGCAATACTTTGGAAGACAAAAACATTCATATAACACATTTTCTACACCTTTCTCAAAGAAAGAAGGAATAGAATAATGAAAATAATACACCTCATATTTTAATTTATGTAACCAGAGCTGGCATAAGAATCTTCATTTAGTGGTTTCTTCCACAGGCAAGTGGATAGAAGAATGACGTTTCTTTTAGAGTTAAAAATATGAGATCAAGAATGCATCTAAACCAACAAAATTACTATACTTTAAAAAAGACTTTTAAAATGTAAAAATTCTAGAGGTCCTTTTTCTTTAAGATAAAACTTAAAAAGAATAAAACTTATATCAAGTGAACCTAAAATATATAGCATTTTATATAACTCTCATTATTTTTAATTAATCTCATTTACTTAAAGCTGTCTAATAAATCTTAGATAAAGAAAAGAAATTTAGAATTAGGTATTGCTATCCTCAGCAATATGGCATTATTTTATTTTCATCTATTTTTTTACTCTGATAAAATGAAAAGCTTTTAATAGTTTTGTTAAATAAAGGCATTTAAAATATAACAAGTATTTTACAGATAATTACAAAATGAATCATAAGTGGGTGCAAATTGAGTAATTTGATTAATTTCTACATTGACCTTTACAAAAGTATTTGTCTAACATTTCTTAGTTGTTATATTTTCATTATAGCAAACTGAAGTTCCAGCCATTAAATTTTCATCTTGTTTTTTAAAAAAAGTGTATTACGGATATAAAATAGTTTGTTTAGTAAAATAACTTTCATTTTAGAAACAATTTGGATTTTGAAAATGAATGTTGTCTTGGAATATCTTCTCTTCTTAGCAAGTATTGTTCTTTTTGGAGTTACCCTTCTCATGCATTTTTCATTTCTATATTTATTAAATTAAATAATTATTTTGCAGGTAGTTAAATTATTGTTCAATAAATTTAAAAAAAAAAAACATAGTTAATGGCAGCACCTAATTTTTTTCAAGGTTTGTGTCATCATTTTAAGTAGCCTCTGGTCTGAGAGACCTCAACATTGCAGATATATAACATGCATCCCCAGCAAAATTGCCCATAAGAATAACTTCATTATTCTGGGAAGCTAGATCTATAAAATATGTAAAATGTAGAAGTGTTCTGCCTATACAATTTCTGGTAAGTACAGTATGACTAAGTGATAAAACCTGAGTCAGCTTCAGTCAGAGCATACCTTACTACAAAGTGGATTGTGACATGAAGGAAAAAGGAAATACATTGAGTAAAGGTGTTCTGCTCTAAAGTAATGATATTCTGCCTTGACTAATAAAAATTAGCTCCAAAGCACTTAATGGTGCAATATACCAATTAGTCCTAGTATCCCCAGGTTACAGCAGAATGGTAAGGACTCACCAGGACCACTGGACAGATTGTTGTGGGTGGTAAAATATGGTCCTTCAAAGGTCCACAGTCACATTCAGGTTTTAGATGAGAAGCACATTTATTATGCAGCTAGAAAAATAGAAAGGAGGGTAATATCAAATTCTACATGACAACAGCAAACATAGGGCAGATTACATTTCAACTGAGGTACAGCAAATATATTAAAAATACATTAAAATAATTACCAAAGGAAATAAACAGGATCATAAAGAGATTTGCATTACACTTGCCCCCATATATCTACCTTAAATAAGCTGTTAAGAAACTTTCATGACACAGACTGTGTATTTTCTAATTCTCAGAATCTTTTATATTAAAAATATGTTTTAAGTTTTACACCAAAGAAGACTGATTTCTTTGAAAAACACAAGTTATAGTCTATTACATTCCTTTCTCTGCATATCTGTGAGCAAAATCTTGAAACCACTGTGTACGGTGGATGCTTTTTCTTTCTCTCTCTCTCTCTCTCTCTTTTTTTTTTTGACCCTCCTGTTTTCTCAAAGTCATTCCAAAGTGCACAGCTCAGTATGGGGCATAATTGATCCCATCATTAGTTTTAACTTTGTAATTCAATATGTAAATGTAACCAGAGATTCATCTCAGTAGGAGCAGGATATAAATAAAAGAAGATGATTATGATTATAAAAATTTATCTTTACATTGTATTTATAAGCTCAATATTATAGCATATACTCATATAATGTACTATTTATTTTACAATATCTATCAACCCAAAGTTATATTTTTGTCAACCTGATCGCAAGTTTAAATTAACGTGTTATAACACAGTGTATTCAATAGTAATGTTTTTTAAATCAAGATGGTATTTTTCATTGGAATCACACAGATTTGAGAAAATAATACTTGCTTAAAGGCAAGTAAGGATTTCTTCTTCCACCATTTTATATCAATTTAATATAAAATATTAATAATTTAGAAAATTTATACATTTTAATATGATAATATGTCTTATTTTTAAAAAGAGCTACAGCATTTTTCAGTTTTGAATTGAAGACCATCCATTTATGCTTTGGTTGTATTATCTTACCTTTGGAAGCAGTTAATTAGCAAATAAGGAAGGAGATAGATGAGTGCTAATTTATTGTTGGTGATGGAACTGTATTGAAGGGGTATTTTCATGGTCCAAGAATCTGGAATGTTTGTCCCACTAACTCCCTGACTCAGGGTTCAGGATGTACTAAACTTAGTGCATATTAGGCTCTAGTACATGGAATGTAAGTATCTTTACACATACATCCATAATTACCAGCTCTGCTTCACAGTGACATATAAACTTCTCTATACAAAAAGAGTTTAATTTTTATATTAGGATCTCCTAATCTTTGACAAGAGGTGTTAAAGGTAAGCCATTAAATACTTATACAAAATTGAACTAAATTAATTAAATAGTACAGGTACAGAGGTGCAAACCTGTAATCCCCATGCCTTGGGAGGTTGAGGCAGGAGGATCAAAAGTTCAAGACCAGCCTCACTAACTTAGTGAGGCAATAAGCAACTTTGTGAGAAACTATCTCAAAATAAAAAATAAAAAGGACTCAGAATGTGGCTCAGTGGTTCAGTTCCCCTGGGTTCAATCCTGATTACCAAAAAAAAAAAAAAAAAAAAATTCATATGGGAGGTAGAATAGTTTTTTTAAAAAGAACTAAATAAACTAGCACTCTGAATGGACAAATAAAAATCCATAATGTCCTCAAAAAGAAGAATAGTTTAAAATATATTATTAAAGCTGGGTGCAGTGATATACATTTATTATTCCAGATACTTGAGAAGCAGAGGTAAAAGAATCTTAAATATGTGAGCCACAGAAATTTAGTGAGATACTGTCTCAAAATAAAAATAAAGAGGGCTGAGGATATAGCTTTGTGGCAGAGTGCCCCAAGGTTTGATCTGCATTACTACTAGAACACAAACACAAACAAATACCTATGTATTTGTGGGATGAATGGGGTACCTCAATAGAGATATGTCAAAATCCTAAACTCTAGTAAATGTGAATATGAACATTTTTGTATACAGGGCCTGTGTAGCTGTATATAAATTAAGATATAGCCATATTAGTTTGGGCCCTAATCCAATGACTGTTATCCTTATAAGAAAAGTGAAATCTGAACAGAAAAATACAGGTACAGTGGGGAAATAGCCATGTGATAACAGAAGTCGAAATTTGAGTGATTCAGTTAAATGCCAAGGAATGCCAAGAATTTCTGGCAATTACCAGAATTTAGAAAGGGCCAAAGGATTCTTCCCTAAGACTTTCTTCTATTTTGTACTTTTAGCTTCCAGAACTGCAGGTGAATAAGTTTGCAGATTTTTAGAAAATTATTATTGTTGGTTCTTTTTATATATGATATTAGTATTTAATTTGACATAATTATGAAAGCATGTAATATAATTTGTTCTAATTCAGTTGCCAGTACTTCTTCCTCTCCTCTCCTCCCCCGCTGTACCCTTCCCTCTACTCCATAGGTTTTCCTGCTATTTGTTATAAGAACTGTAGGATACTAGTACATCAAGCATTATAAAATGTAAACTAAAACCAAAGGCAGACTATGTATCTTAAGGCTCTTCTGTAACATAGTTGTCACAGAGAGAGAGAGAAGAAAAAAAAAAAAAAAAAAAAAAAAAAAAAACTTCAGCACCTTGATCTTGCACAATCCTTTTAAAATGAAAAATACAGCCAGGCATGGTGACACAGGCCTATAATCCCAGCGCCTCCAGAGGCTGAGGCAGAAGGATTGCAAGTTGAAATCTAGCCTCAGCCACTTAGCAACTTTGTGAAACCCTGTCTCAAAAAAATAAAGAAGGTACCAAGTCTTTGAAATCATGTGTGTATATTATACTTAAGGCACATTTCAATTCAGATGCTAATTTTTTACCAGAGATACTTGATTTGCATTTAGAATTAATAAAATGTACAGTTAGAAAAGTAGGTTCATATAATCAAGTTATTTGAAACATACTTAAGAGTTTTCCAGTAATTTGATAACATTTCTGACATTAGTTTAAATAAAATAAAATGTATCATTGAAAAAAAAAATAAAGAAGGCTAGGGATGTGGCTCAGTGGTTAAGCACATCTGGAATCAATCCCTGGTACTAAAATAAGCAAAATAAAATGGAGAATGCAGATTCTAAGAAACTTCTACACATAGCAAAATCTAAAATGAAAATCCCCTTTGTATAGTTTGAGAAGGTATTGAATTTTTTATTCTTATCCACACTGTAAAGATATCCTGGTGAGGCGAAAGGGTAGGTACTTTGAGGCTCATGCAAGCCCTGTCAATAGATGCAGTCAAGAGGACTCTATTAACTAAGAATATTCAGGAGTACCTTATGCTTTTATATAGAGTGGAATGTGTCAGCTGGTGACTATATTTGGATGGCCCTCAACATCATGATATTAGAACATGATGCTGAGAGCATTAGGTTAGAACAAGTTTGTATACAGGTCTAATTTAAGTACCATATTGCTCAGATACATACTTGATGACAAAATATAAAATGTGGAAGCCAGTAAGAAAATGCATACGTCCTAGGATTATTCATCCAACTGAAAGGTGAACATGAATTTTGCTCAGAACATAAAACTGCTCTAAAAAATAAAGTCTGGGGCTAGGATTGTGGCTCAGTGGTAGAGCGCTCATCTAGCACATGCGAGGCCCTGGGTTCAATCCTCAGCACCACATAATAAATAAATAAATAAACAAACAAACAAATAAATAAAGGTATTGTGTCCAACTACAGCTAAAACATAAATATTTTTAAAAAATTAAAAATAAAGCCTATTAAAAGAAAGCAAATATCAACAAAATAGAAATTTGTAATTGAATTCAAAGAACAAAATATTTTTTTAGGTTACTGGTAATATTCTTTTTGGTCAAGTGCTTCTTAGGTGGAGTATTCATTTGTGGGAAGTCATTGATCTCTACCCTTAGAATAAGAACAATTTACTGTATATATGTCATTTTTCAATAAAAAAATTTAAAAGAAAAAAAATGGACATTGTCAAAGATAACAAGTTGCTTAAATTTGGGCCATGGTTTTTAATGTATTCTTCAAAAGTTCACATGTTGGAAACTAAACCCCAAATCCTTACATTGATGGTATTTGAAGGTCAGGCCTTCGGGAGGTTACTAGGGTTAGATAAGACATGAGGGTAGGTTCTCCATAATTAAATTATAGACCTTATAAGAAGTAGAAGAGAAACCCAAGCTTGAACACTTCCTCTGCCATATAATACCTTCTGCCATGTTATGACACAACAAGGCCTTCACCAGATGTGTCCCCTTGACCTTGAACATCTTAGCTTCCAAACTGTAAAAAATAATTGCCTTTTTAAAAAATAAATCATTCAATCTGTGGTGTTGTGTTATAGCAACATAAAACAGGCTAAGACAACTTGTTAGTATGTCATTTCATGAATAGAATATAAGAAAAAGACATAACTGAGTCCTTCTCAGTATTAATAAGAAAGTAAAGACTGATAAATTGCCTTAAAGGTAGCCCAGACCCCAAATCAGTAAAATCCAGGACACAAAGAGCCTCATCAAGAATGAAATAAACAAAGCATTGATGAATACTGCCTCTTGAATAAAATAATCAGTGAGGCACCAAAGACAAGAAATTATGTCCTGTTTTAAATTTTTTTAAAAAACATTATTCATGGTTATTTTTGTGCTCTTTTTTAGGTAAAATACAGAATTCTTAGATCATTATTTTTATATATAAGAAATTCCCCCCCTTTATTTATTTTTTTTAAGGAAATTTAGCCCCATTATCTAGAAAGTCATAAAATATGAGTCATATATTCCTGGAAGTAAAATAAACCCTTAGAAATAATTTCAGGGTTTATGACAGCTCCTACTAGCACCTAATTCAGAGCCAGATCTATGTGTATTAAAAAAATCTGTCTCAAAATTAGAAGAAAAATGAAGTGTGTATATGTGTATATGTGTTTATAGGGTAGAGTTGAGAAAACAGTGAATGTATTGGCCAGAGAAGAAGGTTGGTAGAATTGAAGAAGTCAAATTGAGAAAAAAATAGAATATAAATGGTCACAAAAAAGTAGCTGTCACAAAAAGAAGAGAAAAAATTACTCTTCTAAAAGAAAGACTCGGTGGTCTAATTTGAGGGAACATATTTATTAGTTGCTACAATCCATTAGCCCTAATATCTTGCATGTTCAGGGTACATGCTTAATACTGGTATTTGCTAAAGATAAAGCATATGGTTTTGGAAACTTTTAAATATTATAGTTAGGAGTTTCATATTGTAATTAAAAGAATACCATTATATAATACCACAAGTTAGTATCCCATACTTTAATAAGATAGACATTCTTTTGTTAAACCAAACAAAATGTATTAAAATCCCATCCTGATGAGTCCTGACTGACCAGGAATTGTTTATCTGGATGGTAAACAATTCATAACATATTATAAATAGAATGTCAAAGAAACCCTCTTCATGGGAGTGAACAGGTATTAGCAGTGGGTTCTTAATGATGGCAGGATGTGAGTGAGAGAGAGAAGAGATAACCACAGTGAATATTTTGCCTGGCCCAAAGGATCAAAAAAGAAAGCATGGAAGACAAGTTGCCTACACGGTGGAAGAGTTTTCCACTGTTGTTATTTAGTTTTTTCTTGCCTTTTGTTTTCTAAGTGGTTAGATTTTCAAAAGGATATAAAATATCATTCTAAGAGCTTTCCTAGATATCTACAAGTTGGCAAACCAGTATAATGCACCATCAAGACACCACAAATACTGACTGAAAAACAGTGTGAAAATGGATGTTTTTCTTTAAATATTTTAATGCATTTCAAATGTATTTTTAATACTTGCCTATTTGATGCAGATTTGACTGTCACAGGATGATATTTGAAAACAAAAGTTAAAATAGGGCATGCATTTGGAATTCAGTATTTATCAACAAGAAGAAAACTGTATAAACTGTATGAGTTATTCAAGTGAACCTAACAAGGCCTTCTTCTAAACTCAATGCTCCATCATGAATTTTATGTAATTAGGAAACAATATGTGACACTGACCTGTCCCTGAAACAAGAGTGTAGTCTAGAAGTGTAGACAGCATTAGTAAGCAGACATGATACTACTGAGAACAATTCAGTCTTTTTTTTTTTTTTGGGGGGGGGGTAGAGTAAAAAGTATTCAGAAAAAGGAAATATTAGTATCAAAGAAAATTCCAAGGAAGATATGGAAGTTAACTTGGTTCCTGAGATGTAGTAAGAATATAAAACAGGTGCATTCAAGGGAATTGGATGCGTGAAATAACAGGCACAGGGAAAACAGTCTTCCCAGGGGACTGCCAACCAGACATACACAGCTACAGCAGAGGGAGAGAATGGGGAAGGGAAATATACGGATATGTGCTTAGGTCTCAGTCTGAGTTTTGAGGAAGTGAAAACCAACTTGAGGTAGGGGGTGTTGAGGGCTGCATTTATCATCACAGGATTATTATAGGTTGCTAAAGAAGGCATATGATAACAAATTGGTATTTTGGGAAGAATCTTTCAGGAGGTCGTATGCAGGCTGCATTATAGGAAAAGTACCTTCTGTCAGGGAGGTAAGCCAGAAGATTCTGACTCTAATCTAGTCAAGAGGTGCTAAGAGCTTGCACTAGGGTTGTGAATGTAGAGACAAAAACTCAGCTCTGGAAGAGATATTTTAAGGAGGAAATGTCAGGACTTCGTGGTAGGTTGTACAAATGGATAAAGGAGAAAGGAGTAAAATAAATTGACTTGAAACTCTATCTTCAGACTAGAAGTGTGAGGACAAAATCACCTAATCTGTCTGATAGAAAGCTGTAATAGCAACTCATTGTGAATATAGATCAATCAAGTTGGCTTCAAATTAAGTGAAATTCAAGTCCACTTGATTTTGGATGCTTTTAGTATATGCAGGTGCTTTTGTGACTTAGACCAAATCATTAGAGATCCTTCCAGAAGTAAGAAAGAAAGGGCATGATCTCTCTTCTTGAGGCACTCTGGGGACCCCAGCATTGATTTTGGGAACCCATGTGGCGCTTTTCTTCTCACCAAGGTGTTACTTGCTGAAGAAGGTTCTTTTTTAAACATTTCCACACTTGTAGTGACAACTTTAATTCTTACGATAACATGTACTATGATAGAGACATCATTAAGTACATTTTACAAATTAGAAAATTGGCCAAAACTTGTTATATACATGACCCAAAATGGCACAGCTTGTAACTAACAGATGTGATCTTAAGGATCTGGTTGGCCTGACTTATGATACCAAGTCATTTCCAGAAGTCATATATACTGGCTTTTGGGAAAAAAAAAAAATGAAGCCAAGTTTTATTCTCTTGGTTTCTTTCTGCAGTAGATTACTTATGGAATCCATTCTAATAGGCCTTCCTAAAACACTGACAGTGCCCTATCCCATCACTCTCAGAATAATGTACAGTAGCTCTTTGTATATTAAAAGCACTTTCTGGAAAGTGGGAGGACAAAATAAAGTATATGATTTTAGAATCAAATCTGTAGTAGTAGGTAATGGTTGGTCAAGGGAGATCAGTTTTATCCTAAAATTTTTATATTGTGGCTTATGAAAAAAAAGTCTAAATAGTAATTACATAAATATTCAGAAGTAAATATATTCTGTTATCAGGGAGGCACATAATTATTAATTTAATAAATGTATCCCTATAACAACTTAAAACTCTTGAAGTAAGTTAGGAATCTAGCTCAGTTGGTTGAGTGCTTGCCTTGCACACAAAGCCCTGGGTTCAATCCTAGCACCACCCCCAAAAAATAAATAAATAAATAAAATAACAACTCTTGAGGTACAGAAAGCCTGAAGTTACTTTTTAAAAAGGCTATATATTCTTCCAGACATACAATAACATATTATTTTAATTTTGCAAGCTTCTTTCATGAGCAAAACAACTGGGACCCCAGGGTCTTTAGAGCTTAAGACTCAACAAATAAGGCTGAGGTTAGCCAGAAGCTCAGCGCCTAGGAGAGTTTTGCAAAAGGAGACCTGTTTTTTCTTTTTCTTTTTCTTGACTCTGACTTAACCCTCTAATATTCCCTTTTATAGCCTTATTTCCTGAATAAAACTCAGAGATTGATTAATTGATTTAGACCTCAAGGATTTAAAGACATTTACAGTTCATGTTGTATTCTGCTTTAAAAAATAAAATCATCTTCAAAAAATTTGTTGATCTCCAGTATAAGAATCAAATATTAGGGACATTTTGTCTGAGCTGATTTGGGACATGAAATTTCTACATTTTTAAAGGTACAGTTTGTTCAGAGTAATATCCTTTCTTATAAAAAAGGAAGTGCTTCATATCCTATAAGGCAAAAGCCAGGGTCAAGACCAAAGCTCAACTGGTCTTGGTCAAGTGCTTGGTCATCAGTAGGTTGTAGTGCTAGAGTTAGATTCCAGAGTCAGTGATAAGAGAAACCATTAAAACAAAGAAAGTAAAGGAGAAAAACATGTTGGAATGTAAACAAGGACAGAAAGAATTTTAAGATTCTTTGAGTACCAATTAGAGGCTGTTTTGAGCCCACAGTTCCTATGATTAAAATAAAGTTACAATATATGTCACACACATACCAAAAAAAAAAAAAAAAAAAAACCTTTAAAAAAATGTTGTGAGGTGACATTAAGAATTGAGTTCTACCCAATCCTTTTCCTATTCTCATTGCTTACCATTGCCATGTCCTCTGATTGCCTTTTGGGGAACCTCTAGAGTTCTATGGACACAATCTGAAAACCATAAGATAGTATCATCTCTAAGGCTGTTACTCAGTTCTAAAGTTCTGGATTCTATGAGGGCGAAAGCAGGAAATGCTTAATTAAATCAGTCCTCACTCAAATTTTTCACAATAATTTCCAGATGACAAAAATATTAAAGACAAATTGATGACTGCCAAATGGCTTGGTGTCATTTGCAAGAAGAAAGAGATTCATATTTTACAAAGTGTAGGCCTTCTCTCCCTTTGGAAGTGAGATGAACTAAGAAGCTTCCATGATTTTATGCTGATTGACTTAAATACTCTGAAGGTCTTCCAGACATCTGACAGTATGAGATACAGAGTTTTCAATATGAGTGACCACGGGATTTGTCTGCTAATGTTACTCACTGTGATCTGACACCAAACACAATGCAGTCCTGTCAGTCCCTGGTAACATTTAACTGTTTTGTGGCACTTATCACATTTAGTTGGGCAGTTGCCTTCAACCCAGTAATGGTGCATGACCTAGAACAGAAAAACAGTATTGTGGTAAGAGGAGAATCCATAATTGCCACCCACAAAAAGCAAGCATGTCCACAAACTTACATCAGTGTTCTTTTTGGACTTCACATAGGTCTTGATACAAGAGGGAGGTGCTCTAGCCACGCAGCGCTCATGAACTGTGTACTTGCAGACTGAAAGGAAACAGGTACACAAATTCAGAGCTAATCCTGGTCCTGATTGCAATTTTATAGGGAAAGAATGACATTAACAGGACCTCATTTCATATCCACTGCTCCCTAATCAATCCAATCAGCCACATCAAGGAAAAGCCCAAGTCGACTGTTTTTACCATGGAATACAAAAGGCCAATTAGTACAGGAAATATTATGCATGTGAAAAACCAAGACTCCTCTATCATGGCATAGCAGGAAATGCTTAATTAAATCAGTCCTCACTCAAATTTTTCACAATAATTTCCAGATGACAAAAATATTAAAGACAAATTGATGACTGCCAAATGGTTTGGTGTCATTTGCTAGAAGGAAGAGATCCATATTTTACAAAGTATAGGCATGAGAGCAGCTGGTGAGCATGGGAAGAAAAGCCGATGAGTTTATGCTATTTTTTCTATTGATTTATCTAAACCTTAAATGGCTGATTAGTCTATTTCTAGAGACTAGATTTCATCATACATGCCAGGCTTTCAGTCAGTACAAGATCATTCCTCACTTGACATCATAGCATTGCCTGTCCAAAAAAAAAAAAAAAAAGAAAAAAATATCTTTGCTTAGCAGCATATGGTATGATATATATGTAAGCAAAAACTGATGCTCATTTGCACACATGTATATATACACATATGTAATCAAATATATATATATATGTGTATGCACATAATATGTCATAAAATTAACACACTTTTTAGCATTTTACATATTTTTCTGCTTTGACTCTGAATATAATTAGGGTCATAAAAGTGGCTCTCTAAAAATAATGCTGGTTCCAAGTTAAGAGCTCCAAATGCATACACATATAGAATAAAACAATCTTAATGATATTCAGTTAGTCCTCTCCATAAAAATGAAAGCACCTAAAGATTTCCTGAAATATGAATAAAAACCATTAAATCCACATGTGTATATATATATATATATATATATATACACATACACTAGAAAACTCTTCTAAACTGTTAATATCTGTGATTTGGGGGGCAACACTGAGGAAGAAAACATACTTTTAAAATTTTACTACAAGTAATCATGCCAAGATTCTTGAATTCACCCTACTAGTCAGTTAAAAAAAAGAAAAAAAAGTTGTGAACAAAATTCTCACATTTATATAACCACACTCACCTTACTTGAGAGTCATTTTGTTTCATGTCCTCCTATCAATAGAATTTACCATAAAATATTATTCTCCTTAAAAAAATCATAGGACTTTAAAAACAAAGCATTTTCTTTGTGTATGCAGAATGTTCCAGAGTAAACAACGTTTCAAATGTGGCCACCAGAAACTTTCTTCAGAGATACAGGCAAGTTTCATGGAACTTCATTATCATCCTTTAACATTTAGGATACCCTATGTTACCCTAAAAATGATTTGGTGTCAAAAAATATATCTGGTAAAAAGTACATTTGCAAACTTATTTCCAAACAAGCTGCTAGCTAAAAAAAAAAAAAAAAAAAAGGAGGGGGAACGAATAGGAAAACAAAAAGAAAGAAAATAACAACAAATCTGAAAACAATATATTGTATGCTAGCCAGATAAAAACTTAATTAACTTTGCAAAAGTGGGAAAGTGGGATGTATCTGATAAGCTTGATAGTTTCAGTAACTTTGTATATAGCAGAAAAAGGTGTGGATAGACATATTGCAGGATTAATGAAGAATGCTAGCCCTAAATGAAGAGGAAATGATATGTGTTCTACTTTAGCAGGAATGTCAGAGAATACAAAGTATTCTCAGATAGATATGATATAGAATTAAAAATACTTAGGTAATTTTTAAAGTTAACTCCTTCATACTGTATTAGAAAAATTCTAAGTGTCAGTAATGAATTAATAGAATAAAAAAATAATTCCAAATATAAGTGAACTGAAGTTAGAAAAATGGACACACTTACAAACTTGCAACCACATCTGAAGATTTTCTTTATAAGAACATTAAAAATAACACACTTGAGGTGTTAAACTTAATTTGAATACAAAACTACTTTTAATCAGTTATTTTTTTAAAGACCTGTTGGAATTACACTATTATAAGAAGTCTGTGTGAATAAATTGCCAAACTTAGGGAGATAAAAATAAATAAATAAATAACACGTAAACTGAGAAATTCGTGGAAATTACAAATTAGTGAAAATTCCAAAAGAACTCAAAATCATGAATAAATTAAACTACAATGGAAAGAAAATGGCTAAAGAATTAGAAAAGTTCCTTCACTCTTTATCAGAGGAAGGACTTTCCAAAACTGAGTAAAGGTAAAACCAGAGTGACTTCATTCAGAGGTCTGCAGAGCAATGTAAATGGTAATTCAGAGAGGGTCTGGATTACTTTATCATTTGACAAACAGGACTCTATAAAACCGCCTTTGCTCACTGGGGGTGAGGGCATCCAGGCAGAGCAAACATACTCACAGGAACAGCAGAGGCCCTGCTTCCCCACACCAATCAGCATGTTCAGGCAAAGATTGCAGTAGGCAGGTTTGTTAAAGTGCTTGAGTCGCCACACATGCTGTCCATCATCCTTCACATTCTGCACAGGGATATAAGAGAAACAGATTTCACTTAATGAAATAAACAGTAGAATATGTAGGTGCCAATAAAATTCAGAGCTGGACTGAAGCATTTGAAGACAATCTGTTATTTCATCCCTGACTTTCTCCAAGATCGCCACAGAGTCTTAGAAAAACACATGTGCTCTAGTGGAATGAGACACCGCTAACAAATCGTGGATGCTATAGCAACCCACAAGTTCTTGTCGAATGTCAGCAGTTCAACAGCATACCCCAAACCTTCATTATGATCTGGCAAACTGAGCACTCCCTCAGAAGAGGGACGTGTCTGCCTCACCTTTGAGTAATATATTCTTAGCAAAATTCCATAAACAAGTGAATGAATAAAGAGAGAAAATTCTCTTGAGTGTAAGTGGTTGAACAATGAAAATTGTAAAAATTAGATTAACCCTTGCTTAGAATGGGAATATGAAAAACTCCCAATGATGGTTAGGTCTTATAAGAAGGCAGAAGATTGGGATGGGCTGGAAAATACAGCACTTACCAGCAAGATATGGTGTTACTTTAGAACTTAATTTGTGGATAGTAGGCTATGTTATATTTTCTAATAATATATTCCATATCTCAAATAATAAATTTAAATGCATCAATATTTTAAGGGATTAAATTACATTTCCTTCTTGCTTATGTCTCTTTTGTAAAATAAATGATTTTATTATTAGAGAATGATGGTAAACTGCATTGCTATATGTATAACAATCAGCTTAGTTTTTGTCAACAAAACCTTGAGTTTATATTAATTTACACATTTAGCAAAAAACTCTGTGATTATTACTTACTGTTTTAAGTAAAACTCTGCATATCATAATAGCTACTTCTCTAATGGATGTTTAATCATACTGTATAGTTCAAGATTAAATGAGTCTTGAACACCTTACAAGAAGGTCAAAATACAGATATAAAGTTATATATTTCAATACATATAATTTTACCATCATTTTCTTCATTGACATATGTACTCCGTATTCACTTCATTAATTTGTGTGAAACTTAATTTCAGACATAATTTATTGGTACTCTATTGACACCACCATAACTCATAATTTTTCAGGTTAGCCAAATTGTCCCATTTCTTAGAATTACATTCACCAAATAATTTTTGAGCATTTACTATGTACTGAGGAAATCATGAATTCTGAGGTGGTATGACAACACAAACATCCAGATCATCTTGATTCTTTTGATAAGAAAATATTCATATTAACATTCCTAACCACTTTTTTCTATTCTTAGTCAAGAGACAAGGCATCAGATTTATAATACCAGAGGAAATGTATAGTAACTAATTCTTACATTAGAACCAGAAATTTCAAATTTGCATCATATGTCAAGAGCTTTGTAATGTTTTGAACAACCAATTAAAAAAAATTTGCATCGTACTATGAAACATTAATAAAAATGGTTTATCTGGGAGATAATTCTCCATGGATCTCTTGAATGTCTGCATGTTTTGGAAGCAGAAGCATTATCTTTTCTTATTCCGCCCTCCCAAGAAGTCTTTTCAAACTTACTGAAAAAAAGCTTTGGACAATAAAGATGTTTCTCTAGCCAGTAGAGAAGGCAGGTTTATTTATTGTCCAGTCTAATAAGGATAATCTCTTTCTTCTAAGCAAAGATTAAACGGATTTCTTTACTGCACATTATAAGAGATTTAGTTTCCCTAAGATAGAAGTTCCTAACTCTGATGCTGTACACTGCAATTAGTCGGGTTTCACTTCATTTTCCCTATGAAACTTAGGGAGAAAGGCAAACAGATCAAACATAAAGTTCCTGATGCTGCTTCACTGTGAGTACTAAAACCCATTGTCTCTGACCCAAAAGTCTCATGTCCTCTGCCAGCTTCCAGGAAATGGTGGCAAGTTAACACATTAACAACACATTAACCTGCAAGAAGGGTAAATCTAGACCTATAAATTTCAACAATGCTCATGTTTGGCTTTCTGAAAAGGGGCTAATGAGATCTCAACAAAAGCAGCTAGGTATAAGGTGTCAAGGAGAGAACTTCAGAAGATATAATTTCAGTTTTCTAAAACTCAAGAAATAGACTTCATAGTAATTTCCTAATTGAGTTTGGGTTTAGATGAACCATAAGATTTCAAGTTGTAATAAAATGTGAATAGAATACGTGTTTAACTTTGCTATATTTTGAAAACTGTCTATATTTAAATTTATATTGCTTTAAAAATTAAACATCCTGATGTAAAAAAAGTTTAACTATGGCATTGTTAATTTTTAAAACTAACAAACTTTAAAATTAGCAGTTAAATTCTTTGAAATATTTTTAAGTAAATGAAGAAAGGAAAAAACTATTTTTCATATGTATTACCATTTTTATATTCCTTGTCATTTTATTTTTAAATGATTGTCCATTATATGTGAATAAGCCTCATCCTGTTGGAGAGCACATATGGACTAAGTTAGCTGGCATTTTCCTTATCAAAAAATAAACAAGTCTGAATGTGGGTGTTCTGTCAATCAGAACACTTAGCCATGTTACAGGCTGCAACTGATGTACAAATCCATTACCCAGGCATAAAATGCTTTACCAAAAACCAAATCAAATAGCTTTATAGCTCTTAGCCGGATGCATTGCCAAAATATGCAAGGAATGAAATATGTATGTGACTTCTTTAAAAGAAGAAATTGAAACCAGGAGCCAACTACTTCTCAGCAGTGCAAATTATACTCCAACTCTCTGTATTTTCATGTCTTGTCTTGTTTGTCTTATTTAGATTGTAAACTTAGTGGGGAAGAGAAAGAATCTGTCCTTTCCTATATCCTATCAGCCAACAGAGCATATTTCTATTAGTGCTTCTGTTACAAATAAATATTTATTGCCAAGAAATGAATTCACTTTTATATAAAAAAAAAAAACAAAAAGAAAAAGAAAAAAGAAAGAAATGAACGGAGAATCCAGAAGGCTTGGTTCCTGCCTACTATGAAAATGTGAACCGGCCATTTCATCTTTCTTCTTCTTATTTTCCTCTCTAATGAAATCAAAGTACCCACTTTGCTTTCCCAGGCCTTCTTGTGAGGTTTCATTATACAATACCTGTGAAGTTAATTTAGCTCTTCAGAAGACTGGTGTTATATAAACAGCAAATATTATTACCATCATTGGGTTGAGTTGTGTAACATCCCAACTTATCAGCTAAAAGAATTAAGAAAAATATTCATAGATTTTTATATACTTTATTTCATAGGAAATGTGTTAGTTTATTTTCATTACCAGATACAGCACTGCAGATTACAATATAGCAGCTCCGTTCTGTGCTTAGGACGGAGAGAAATGTTTACTGAGTCTCAGGCTGGTCTACTCTTAAGAAGGAGCTTCACGTCCTTCCTTGATTCTCAGTTCCCTAGAAGCCAAAGGGATGTTTCAAAGGGAGAAGGCCCTTTGCGCTTTTTCAAACTTAATTTCCTTATCCTAGTGATTTCTAAAATTTTAGGATTTTCCTAAATATTTCAAAGTTCAAATATAATGTTCAACTAAACTGGAACCACTATAGCACTGTAAATATTTTTATTTTCAAAAGACCTCAAGGAGAAATTTTACAGATCCCAGTATAAGTACTCCTTCCCTGGCACCCAGCCACATTTCAACTGACTTATTTAGAACACATAGATGAGCCAATGTGGCAAATTACTTTAAATCCATTAAATAATAAAGATCAATAAATTGTCTTACTATTTTGTTCAAGATCTCCAAACAGTAAATGTCAATATGAAAGAAACTACTCATTTAGACAAAAAAACCAAGCTATATCAGACACTGGTCAATGAGAAAACAAAGATAAATATTAAAATTTGGGGCAGATTTGCAGTGAATTGCTCATCTCCAGACTGCACCTTCTGAGAGCAGACTGGGACCCTGCAGCTCAGACTCGAACTCAATAACATGTGAAACCACATGTTCATTTTTCTTTTTCAATACCTAATCTGAAATCTCAAGAATTGTCACATATATCTGGTTTTGAAATTTCTTTCTATATTGAACTATGTACATATAGAGGAACAAAAACTGTAAACCAAATTAACATTGTAAAAATTGGAATACAAATCATAATTTTTAAAATATAATTTAGATTATTAAAAATATATTATCATTTATACTGTACCACTCAGAAATTTTATCAGAGAATATATTTCATATTCTTTTATTCTATCAAGAAATTTAACAGGTCTTAAACCATCTCAATCAAAGGAAGAGTTTATGTTACTTCTAAGGATTAAAGGCCAAGATTCTTTGAGATGGAATCATTCTCTTTAAAACCAAAATAGATTAGATGTGGGCACAAGAGTCTACGCCAAGGAGTTAAGGTCATTTCAAGGATACCTGGATGGATAATTTTTACATTTATTATATGTGTATAATAGGTGAATGTGTATTTTTGTTTTTAGGAATTAAGGAATTTCTAATAATATGAATTTGGGGATTTTTCTTGAACAATTTAGTAAAGATTCAAGATTATGGCTTTCAGGAATTGAAGTATTATTAATTGTCTTGTTGGTCTAAGAAAAGAAACATTAGAACTAAAAAAATGTTTTGAAAAAGAAAAACGTCTTCTTGACTTTCTTTTCATTTTTTTAGAGGAGGCAACTCCCTGGCACAAAATGACTGACTTAATAACATTCAGGATGGAGATCAGTTCATGAAGTCCACTGCTTCTGTATCTTACTCATGTCTTGCTGTGGTTGTTTGTGTGCCAGGTCAGAGGTATTCTAGAGTCCTGTCTCCTGAATTATTAAAAGTAAATTAAAACATCTTCTGTTTGTAATATGACAAATTAGTAACAAAACAGATCAGCAGTTGGCACAAAAGGTGGCAAGTGGTTCAAGTCTGTTAAGCAATCTGTTTTATAAATAAAGTTTTATTGGAATATAGCCTTATTGGTTGCTTTTTTACAATCTCTGTGATTACTTTTGGGCTATAACAGAAGCACTGAGCAGTTGGGACAGAGATCTTTATGGCCATAAAACCTAAACTATATAATGTATTTCCCATGATAGACAGGTTCCAGTTACTGAAGCAAATAGTTGTTAGTGAAAAGAAAAAAAAAAAAAAGGTTTTCATTATATAAGGTTTGAAAAAATCCTTCAGTAAGATGACTATTGAAAAAAGAATAAGTTTCTTCATGTGCAGTTGTGCATATCTGTAATCCCAGAAATTTAGAGGCTGAGAAAGGAGAATTAAAAATTCAAACCCAGCCTCAGCAACTTAGCAAGGACCTAAGCAACTCAGTGAGACCCTGCCTCTAAATAAGATATTTAAAAAGGCCTGGGAATGTGGCTCAGTGATAAAGCACCTCTAGGTTCAGTCCCCAGTCCCCCCTTCTCTCCAAAATAAATAAAGAATGTTTCAAGGTAACTTTTGGTAGTGGTAATCAAAATCATATAATCATTTAAACTCCCTATTTTCCTTCAAATGTAAGAGACACTAAGACTTGGTACTGTTTTTGACCAGTTTATCTTGGGTTTTGTGATGTTTGCATTAGTGCTTGTGAAAGAAAAGAAATGACTCTTTCTTTTTAGTGTTTGGTGAAGAATTAAGTCCCGATAAACTACATTTCTGATTTTAGTAGATAAGCAGATTTTATTTAAAATAGAGCAACATTTTAAATTCTGTTAATGGAGAAAAATAAATATAGTGCAATCATAACAGTTGTGCCTTACATGAGAACAGAGGCTTACTCTCTCAGAAAGACAATTTTAACTATGCTATTGGATAGTCCAAGGCAGTCACTCTCAAATACACTGTGGTATTTAACACCCACTATCAATTAGAATCTACTCTCCAAGCTCATAATTGACAATAGACAAGAATATATAGGACAACATAACAAGGCAAGCTTTATAATAAATGGCCAGCTTCAAACTGAAGCATCTAGATTTCCAATTTAATAAGCAAAAGATGTGGTGGGGGTTGAGGCTCTAGTACCAGGGATCAAATTCTCTACAGGTAATAACATAACACATTAACTGCCTACAGAAAGGAAATAAATCTCAATTACTAAAAAAAGACTCTCATCATTCAATTGTCTTGGTGTCATTCCTGGTTTTTACAACACTTACAATGCCTTAGACTTAAAAAGCTATTTTTAACAGAGAGGTATTTTGTTTTATGATCATTACACATGATTACAGTGCTTATACATCTTATTAAAAGATACTTAAAAATGGTTGCCTTACTCTTTTTTTTAAATGTGAAAGAAAAGGGAAATTTCTTTCAGAATCGTAATTCACAGAGGAAAAACATCCAATCTCTTAAATATATTTGCCTTATTCGTGTTAAACAATGTGGCCCTGACATCTAGTGGCCAGGACTGGGAACACAGCTCTGTTTACTATTAACAAAACCCTAAATTTATTTTTCCTGTCAATCTTTTAGAACTAAGAACATAAAATATTAATTTACAAATTCAATTAAAGATAATTTACAAATAATTAACCAAATGTACATTAAAAGCAAAGAAATTTCATTCAATGTAACTTACTGCCAGAAACTAATGAAATATCATATTTCTTTAAAATATTTAGAGTTAAATCTAAACAAATTTGTGAACTATATTAGCCATGCTATTTGTATAATTTTACAAGTACCTGTATTTATAAATTAAAATTTAAGCCTTTTATAACCAATAATATGTAAAGTAAACCATTATTTCAACATCCTCTGTGATGTTTAAAATAAATGTAACAAAATCTCCTTTTCTGTACTTTCTTGTCTCACATCCGACTACATTTCATTTAGTCATTCCTGTATCTCCTCTGCTTTCATACACCAATTTCCAAAAGCATATAGAATACTCAAATTTTAGTTTTGATAATATAAAACTCCCTTCTAGAGAACCATTATTATTGGTTCTCCATGACTGGAGTCTTCTAACAATTGTTTTTCAGCACAGAATGTAAATAAAACTTAAAATGCTGCCATTTTGTAATTTTGCCTTTTGCTCTTTCATCATAATTCAATTTACATAATGCTTGTATCAACAGGTATATTCAACAATTAAATAATTATAATAGGGGTATATAACAAGTTATAAAAGATGCTAAATTATGTGTAGCATACAAACATAAGGTACAAGGAAATACTGAATAATTAATTTTCAAAGTGTAGAAATATGTATTTATGAGAAATAACATCTATATTCATTATCTTTGTCATAAATTATTTTAAGGTGATGTCCTACATATCAACTATTAGTATTTTTTTTCTTCATCTGACAGAGACTAAAATCCCAGAGTTCCTATGAAAGGTAACATCAAAATAGCAGTAAATAATTTGAAATTCCAGGTAAAAAGTAAAGAAAGGATAATTTTCTGAACTTCACCTATTTATTTGTAAACTCATATATAATCCTAAACCCTAAACCTATTTATATATTCTTAAACCCATTTACACAAACATGTTTATATATACGTTCACAGGTTTCACAAACAGACTGTAAAATGTCTTGAGAGCTGACTTTTAAAAATTTGTTGTGTTGAATAGTCTCAAATCTGCAAAATTAGTTTTGCTGGTAACAAGAAGTATGAAGAGTTTGAGGATCAGGAGCAAAGTGGTAGACACCATGTTCTTGGATCTCAAAAATTTAAATGTTATGTGTGTCAGGGTGGTTTCTATCCCTTATACTCTTTGATTCTAAGTAAATATGCTATTATATACATATTATAGTTCATTCCTATTCCAGAATTAATGCTAAATACAAAAACTAGTTGTTTTTTTTTCTGTTGATGTCACCAGGTTTCTGAATTAATTTCTGAAATAATTTTATGGCAGAGTTAGGCAAGATTTAGTTTCAAAGTCATTATTATATCACATCTGGTCATAGGTTGATCGACTTTAAACCCCCAAACTATATATTTAATTGCCAATACAATGGCACTTAGGCACCAATTAAAAAAAAACTTTTGAGAATTAAATTAGAATAAGAACATGGTTGATCTGCAGAAATATAAGAACAACATTTTTCATATACATGTATATCTCTCATCCTCCTCCAATACCTAATTGACTTCTCCAAGTATGGGATATCAATAAAATAGATTATCCTCATGTGAGGGGGAATATTGATTGAGATAGAGCATCACGAGGACCACAGAATACAACAATAGTACAGAATTTCTTACATTAAATGATATATGAAGAAACAACATTGGGGAGATAGGCAGTTTAAAAGGATTGCACTTTAAACAGAGGAAAACAAAAGAGAAAAAAATACACATGTAATCCTAAGGTATTATTTTAAGAGGATCAATATGTTTATGTCAAGTGTTACCACATAAGGAGCTACTGTTAAATTGCACCATGGTGTATTTATTAAAAATAGCAGGCACTCACTACATGCTTCGTGGTAGAAAACGGCCAGATCAATTTATAATCAAAAGGTTAATAGAGAATCCCACTGAGTGATTTCGAGGCCACCCTTCTCCATGGAAATGCTTACATTTTCCAAGCCCAGGAGCACAAGAAGTGGGATTGTTGTCATTCCTCCTTGAATCCACTCCTCCAGAGACACGGTTCCATCATGATCATAGTCAATTTCTTCCATCATTTCGTGAAGGATCTGGAGAAGAGGAGATCAGTGAAGACTTAAAAAGAATCAATAAAATGCATTTCACATAATATGGCAAGGCATTACATTGAACTGACTACAACAAATTGTGACTAGTAGTGAAAGGGAGAGTTGGCATATATGTTTTGATAACTCAGTACAACATTAATCCTATTACTGAGAAAATAGTGTCTTAATGATTTTTGGAACACAGCTAACTACATTGATCAACTGCTAGAAATAAGTGTTTAAATTTCTAATATTTTTTCAATGAATAGCACAGCTAAAATAAGTTAACTTTAATTTAATAGTGAAAGTGGTCTTTAATTACTTCCTCAAGATGATTATTTTTTTAGGTTCATATATATGCCAGAAAATGTCTGAACAAATTAACTTCATGGCAAAGAGCTCAAAGAATTCTTTGCTAAGTAGTAAAGAGTAGAAGAATGAAGCTGTTTTTAATTGCCTATCAGAACTCAATAGAGCCCCAAATTTAAATGACCTAATCATATTTAATTAGACTCTTTTCTAAAGATAACTTGCAATAATGTCCCAAAATGTTCTTCACAGTATTGTAATACATTTAACCTCTTTGTGGAATGGTGATGATGTTGGTACTTACTTCAAATTATAAATAGAAGACCCCTGCATACATCATGTCACATAGTATTGTTTTATTACAATAAAGTAAATTATATGAGTCCAACCATATGACCCTTGGCTGCTGGAAAGGCAAAGTAATTCCCATCTCAAGATATCAAGGTGGCAAACCTGGTAAGAACCCTAGTGCATTATTGCCTTTATATAATGTGGGAATTTCAAACAATTAAGAACAAGCAAGAAATTCAAAGAACATTACAACAGAAACTTTAAAAGTATAATAAATAAAATATTTAGTTGGGGCTGTAGTCCAGTAATAGAGAGATTGTGGAGCATGTACAATGCTGTTGGTTTGGTATCCACCACTGAAATTTTTTTTGGTAAAAATATTGTTTGGTAAAAATATTGTTTGCTTAAACAATTCTGTGCTTGGTGTGTTTCCTCAGAAAGTATTTTAAAATCCTATTGTTTTCCTTCGTAGCAACACAATGATCTGTAAGTACTGAAAAAAAAAATTAAAAAAAATGTGCTGGAATAATTATTTAATTATTCTAAAAATAAAAGATAAATTATTTTAAATTTGATAAAATGGCAAAAGATTCAGTTAAAATGCCCTGCCTCTTGAGGGGCATGCTCATTAACCAATGGAAAGGAACATATGAGAATAAACTAAACTAATACTAATACTAATACTAACGTTAATACTAACATTAGAGCTGGGATTAGTTGAATTAAAATTCCTTTCAAGAACATCTGGCCTGGGTTCGAGCCTCAGCACCACATATAAACAAGGATGTTGTGTCCGCCAAAAACTGAAAAATAAATATTAAAAAATTCTCTCTCTCTGTCTCTCACAACATATTAAAAAAAAGAACATCTGAGCCTTCCCTACTAATTATGATCAACCTCAAATATTCACTTATTTTTATTCATATATGCCAAGTTAATAAGACTCCCAAACTGTGTACATTTGTTCAAAATGAAGATCACTGTTGAAGCAGTAGGCAAGATAAAGCAGTCATCATAATAGCAAATGACATGCTCAAAGGGAGGCCTTCATCTTTATTTTTCACACTGAAATATTCAGAATAGAGGCCAGCTTATCAGACCACACATGACAAATAATGCTACAGGTATTTTTTTCTATTTTCCCATCTGTATTTGTCATAGTTAGGCTGTCCAGCCACTCCACTTACTGTCTCCCTCTTCCCAGCATCTAGATCTTCCTTTTTTTCAAACCTACACCTCCTGTCACCAAAAACAATTTTTGCTAGAAAATGGTGGTACCCACTTCTACTTAGAAAGTTGTTAGGAAAAAAAATCTCCCTTCCTTTCCTCAGTTGATTGATAGATGAACAATCTTTACAGGTCAAAAGGTAGGGAAGAGGAAAGAAAGCTATTTTAGATTACCATAACCAAAAAGGTCAACAGAACTTATAAGAAATCCCCTGATTTCATAAAAAATAGTACTAAGACAATTGAGCAATAAGTTAAATACATGCCATCATCTACTTTTTATTTTATTTTATTTTATTTTAGTTTTAGATGGACACAATACCTTTATTTTATTTATTTATTTTTATGTGGTGCTGAGGATCAAACCCAGTGCTAGGCAAGCAATCTAATACTGAGCCATAACCCCAACCCTCATCATCTACTTTATCATTCCATACACAAAATACAATCTGTTACTGATAGCTGCCAGTCACTAGGAGAAGGTTGGATGCATTTCTACATCAAACAAATAAACAACAACAACAACAACAACCCTCCCCCCAAACAGTTGCATTACAACTGGAAAAATTCAAATCCAATTATGAATGGTACAATGTTTTGCACCTTATGTATTTACTGCGTTGTTTAGAAAGGAAGATAAATGTTTTGAGCTCTTGTAACACATATTCATGCACTTACCATGCTACTAACTGCATAAATGCAAAAACTGGTTTACAGACTTTTAAAATGCATATAAAATGCAAAGTATTTCAATTAAAATTGATCTGTATTTGCCTTATTCATGTAATCTTAATTGACTTCAAAATGAATTAAAATTAGTATTTCCTATCATCATTTTCCAAAATATTTCTTACAGCTAAATTCATAGAAAATTATGTTTTCTATGCAGATTATTTTAATATCCATTTGAATAATGTTGGAAGTTTTAGTACTTCTACTCAAGTAAGAAGTTTTTATTAAAGTTATGAGGTATTGTTTCTTTAAACAAAATGATTAAAAATTCCAAGCTTTATTATGAAGAAGCCAAAGAGCTTTGGGCTTTCCTTGGAGAAAGAACAAAAGTTAACTGATGAGAGCTTTAGAATACCACATATACTTTGTCTTATTTAGAATCCTCTTTGACTTCTCATTAGAAATAGTAACTTAGAGTGACTTAAAGACAAAAATCAAATGATAGTAATATATTTAGTCTCAGGAAAGACAGAAAGAAAGAAAGGATGGAAGGGTGGAAGGAAAGAAGGAACAAAGAAAGAAACCTTCTAGGATTTAGTCAACAGTTAAATCATTCTTATACCTACTGGATTAAGTTCAGTGACATCCCATTCAAGGTACTCAGCAACGTGCATCATTTGACTGATGATATTTTCTAGCTCCTGAAAAAAAGAGAAAAAGGGGGTCGGGTGGGGGAGAGAATATATGAATAGAAGATCTTATTAATCTTTGACTTGAAGGAATTGTTTTGTTCAACAAGTAGCTAAAAAATTAAATAAGATACATACATATATTCCTATTTAAATATTTTATTAATGATATAGAGAAGAGGAAACTAAATAGAAATTCATCTTGTACTTTGTCTAGAAATTTCCACCAGAAGAGGGCACAATTATACCAAGAAAGGCTTTCTTCTACTAGAAAAGGAGGGCCTGATGAAAGCAGGAGTTTATGTATATTTTCACAGGATGTGATTTTCTAAGTCACTGACCATCCTGACCCTTTGGCTTCCAAGCAGATGTGCACGGGTGGAAGGAAGCATTTGAGAGCAACTGAGAGGTTTATTTTTATTTTGATACACTGAGAACATATATTGACTCTTCCAGTCATTTATTGGGATAATGTGCTTTGCTAGGAGGATATTCAGGGTAAAGGTTTGGAGGCTAAGTATATGTAGAGTTTATTTTGTGAGAGGATAGAATTTTAGCTTGAATTTTCATAGTATTCTGCTCAAATGTCAACTCTTTGAAGACCTACTGGTGAATACATATGGCTTGGCTAAATAAAATTCAAATATTTTTCAGATGTATGTCTTCAATGTTTCAATTTTCTTTGCCTATTTTCAGAAACGATTAAACATGGCTTTGTAAGATAATTTTGATTTTAAATGGAGATATAACATGATTTAAAAAGTGGTATAATTTCAAATATAAGAAGTATAAAAGCATTAGGCTTGAAAGTATATTAGTCAAAGATTACACTACTTCACCCCTGATCTAATATATGTGGTCAATGTTCATTACGTGAAGAAGGAAATACGGCAAAAATTAGAAAAAGCAGGTCCCTCTGAGGAAGTTGTAAAACCTATATTCTCTCTCTCTAAAAAATATATATTATGTTATTAATGCATGATAGGAAGCCCCACAACAACATAAATGTATATTAGAAACTGCTAAATTTTAAAACTTGCAAAAATTGTGTATTTGAATTACTACATTATTACCTAGTCTATGTTTGCTTATAAACAACTCAATGGTTTGGAGAGGTTGAAGTCCTTGGATGTATTTTTAAGAAGAACTATTTTTCATGGACTACATTACATAGTCTCGTGACATAAGTCATTTAATCTCTAGTTTCATCATCACTAAACATGGATATTCTAATTTTTCCTAGTTGATAAAGTTGCTGCCAAGATTAAACATCTTGTTATATGAAATATATTATCTAGTTTAGCATATTATAAAGGATCAATAAACTTTAACTCTCATTATGAGACATACTCATCATTTTCCAAATTAATTTCCAAATCAATTTTCTCTTTTTTTGTCCTCCAAAAGGTGAACTGCTATGCTATTAAAATATCAGGACAAATGACTCCAGAAGGTACAATTTGAAACTGATACTGAAGAAAATTACTGGGCAATGGACTATGTGGAGAAAACCCCAAAATTTAATCAGTAAGAAAAAGATAAAAAGAGTAACTACCATCAACAAATCAATTTAAAACAATTTATCCTCAATTCATTGTTCAATATTGGGAATACTGCAATATATGAATATTACAAGTAATCTACTATACATGTTACCCCAAAATGGCCCAAGACCAAAAAAAAAAAAAAAAAAAAAATCTGGCTAAATTTTCAAATCCACCAAATTTCAACCCATGGTTAAAAGCCTAGTTAAAAAAAATTCTTTTATTTTCTTTTTTTTAGTTTTTAGATGGACACAATACCTTTATTTTTTTTATTTAGTTTTCTTCATGTGGTGCTGGGAATCAAACCCAATACCTCATGTGTGCTAGGCAAGCACTCTACCACTGACCCATAATCCCAGCCCAAGAAACATCATTTAAACTTAATTAAAAGAAATATTAAATAAAACAGATTCTCATTACAACACAATATGTAGTATTGTAGTTACAATAAGCATACTGAGATATCTAGAAAAAAACTCATAATTCCTAGCTGTGAAATGGTACCAGAAAATGAGAAAATTTATCATGCACCCCCAAATTACTAAATGGAAAACTCAAGATAAGTAGCATTTAAAAGCAATAGTCTGAGACTTAAACATAAATCCCACAATCAGACCATCAGTTCAAAGCGGTGGTGGTCATTTCCTGCAATGGGAATTATAATTTCTCTGGCGATGCTAATATGCCACTTTCCTCCTCAGTGTTACATAAACATGTCTCCAGCTTCATTGCTCCTCTTGAGAAAGTCTATTTGAGTTTGCCACAGGGAGGCCCACCACACCACCAGAGAAACTCACCATCAGAGAGAGTATGTATTTCAGTCATTGTCAAATGTGTGAAAACACTTGGTGTAAATGTGCCTGTGTACTTCACAATTGCCAGAACTTGACACTCTTATTTTTCATATTTTTCATTGAGACAAAAGGAAACAATATAATGTGACAAATATGTTATCAGCAAATACATAGTACATTATTGAATGAAACCTGAAATAGGCTTTCATAGAAGATACTGATGTGCACACTGGAATGGAGGCTAATTTTTCATAGGACATACTGATGTGTACATTGGAACTGAGGCTAATTTCTACTTTTCTGAGAGCTAACCATGATCTCTGTACATTACAAATAAAATAAACATTTGAGTGTTCCTTCCAGTTAATCATACAGAGATGGTATTTTTTTCTTTTACTAATTTTTATGCCTTAGAGTGCAAGCTGCATATGTAACTAGATGAGAGACTTTACAAAGGAAAGTCTGTCAAATCAATAAAGGGAGGTAATCACACTGCCATGAAACAACCATTTGCTATGAAAATATGTAATATATATATATATATATATATATATATATATATATATATGTATAATCATACATACACATATATATACACATATATACACACACCTATATATACATTCTTATTTCAACAGCATGTATGACTAAGAATATGTTTTTAAAAGTGGAAAAATAAGAAAATAATCAAATTATTAAATTGACTTTATAATTCCTTTAGATTTTATTTCTATTCTCAATGTTTTCCTTAATGTCAAATCTTACTGATAGTTTTTCTTTCTTTCTAGACCAGTGGTCTCAACTTTATCTAATGTTTTATTCAATGTTGGAGTCTTCCTTTTTTATCAAAATTCTGCACAGAAAAAAAAGTCATGTTTTCATAGCAAAACTATTCAATACAACAATCATAATCCTGTCTCCTCAGATCACTCCTTCGAAAAAATCAAATGATAAAAATGCTGTGTGAATGGATGTAAATTATATTAAGTGTGCCTTCTGTGGTAATAGCTATTAATTTATTCATTGCCTTTTTCAAAAGAAATTACTTTGAAATTTTCACAGAAAATTTGAAGGAAAAAAATTACCGAGCTGTCCAGGAAGCCATTCCCATCTGTGTCATACAGGCGAAACATAACTAGAATAAAAGAAGTGTTAAAAAAAGATTATAGGTGAACAAGATCAATGTTAGTTTAAGGCATATTCTTTAAAACTTTTCTGTTGAAAACAAATGTTAAAGTTCTCCATTGCTCAAAGCAGTTATTTGTGAGATTGTTTCCCAAGTTAAATTGAAAACAAATTAATTGTTAATAAAAACACTAGATATCAGATATGAAATCTACCAAATTTTGTTTGTATCTAGGAAACACTGAAAAAGCACTATTGTTTGTTCAAACCCTTATTTGGCCATTAAATGTAAAAACTCAAATATAACAAAGGAAAAGTTGAGACACTCAGAATCTGAACATCAAAGGGCTAAGTGGATAAGAACAAACAAATGATTTGAAATTTAAAAAATTAATTATAAATTGGAACCGACCCTCCAATCTTACAGGAACTTTGCCCAACACTGTTTTCTTATCTATAAAGGGAGGTAATCACACTGCCAAGAGACACCCATTTGCTATGAAAATTAAGTGAAGCAGTACACTCAAGTGCATGCCAGAAACTGTAGGTTCTATTCAGATATAAGCCACTGTAATGGTTGATTCCCCAAACAGTGTGGAATCGGATGGAGGAGTGCAAAGAACAAGTTCTTTCTGGGGAATGTCATCACACAAAATGCATTGTTTTCATGGCTACAATGGTTCATCTGTCTAGATCTGTGGTGGAGCTTCATGCGGTAATTCATCTTTGAACTAATGAAGTAGGGATATGGAGAGTATGGGTTACATGTTAGTGAGCTCAGGAGAGCAGGACAAAGCCTTCCCAGCCTGAGGATTCCATTGTAGAATTCACACACCACTAGGAGGCTGTGGAAGAGGCTGCAGGTGCCCTTTTGAGGTAAACAGAGAAGAATGATACAGCTGTAAAAACAGAAGAGTGGAAGTGAGGGTTTGTGTTGGGTTTGTATAATTTCCTGTAGGATCTTGGTGTCTGAGACCTACAATATTAAAACAGACATTGATAACTAGGAGGCATAATTATGCAATGACCTTGATGAAATAACTGCCATTGATTATTATCATTTTATTTAATAATTTTTATATTTCACCAATTGTAAGATATGATTATTTATAAGATTTAAAATTATTCTACATATCACTAAAATTTAAAATGTTGCCAACTTAATGATGACATTGTATTTTTTTGTAAGTGGGGAAAAAATCTAAAAGATGTTAAAATATAAAGGGGGAATGTACCTATTGAATTAAGGGAAATAAATGTTAGGCCAACTCACACACTTAAATATGTTTATTTGCAAACCATACAGATTATTCCCTCTCATCTCCTCAATAAATGAGGATAAAATGCAGTAGAAAAAAATGCCTACCACAATATGGACAATGAGATTTTCAAGATTTTTTCTAGTGTGGTAGCAAATAGTAAAAATTACCTTTATAAGTACTAAGAAATTACAGATTCACTCAGAGGAGAGGTTAACAGCAGGAAGTCAAGGCCATAGAGAAGTCTAACTGTTCTTTAGAGGGAAGGAAACCCTGTGGTTTTGTTCATCCTCAGTGTAATAAAGTTCTGTAAAAGCATCTTGTATAGTTTAGACATGTGGAGACCCAGTGCCCACTGGTAGCAAAAAGAAAATTATATCCATGAAATAAGACTAGAAGCATATAAGGATCCTGCTGGAATCAAAATGGATTATCTGTGAAGTCAAAATCTGATTAAAAAAACAAGTGTGAGAAAAGTCATCATATGATGTAAAATAGGTCCCAGATATGGAATGAAAGACATAGATAAAAGGAAAGAAGATGAAAAATAGAAAAAGAAAGAAAAACTCAAAGTTTTGTCTTAAAGCTTCTATAGTCAAATAAAAGTGGTTCTAGAAAGATAGAACAAATAAAATAACGGGGTAGGACATTATCAATGAAAAGATTAAAGTACGAAGAGCACAAGTTTCTAAGCCAAAATTTATGGGGTGGGAGCAAAGTTGAGAATTAATTAGCTGTATGGATAGAGAAAACTATCAAGTTAGGGGAAAAAGGTAATTATTAACTCGATGGAAAATAAACGTTGTTTGGTCTTATAAGCCTATAAAACCTTTCCCTTTTAAAACTATATTTATAAATAATATGGGTAAAATTAAGCTTTAATCTTTGTTATAATAAGACAATTTCTTCTCCATATTTAAAACAGAAGAGAGATTAGTGGAGTAGAAGAAGGGAATTGAGGGAAGAATGAGGGACAGGCAAAGGGAGGAATGGTGCAATGAAATCGACCAAATTATCATATATGTATATAAATACACCACAGTGAATTTCACCTTTACATATATCTATAAAGCATTAATTTTAAAAATGCATAAATAAAAAGTAAAGGTAGGCTTCAAGGTAAGTGAATAACTGAAAAAACAGATCTTATTTCTAAAACCAACATAAGCATACAGAGGTTTATGTGTAAAAATAAAGTAAGCCCAATATTAAAATTATTATATCAACATGATGATTTCCAAAGGTGAGTACTGGTTGCAAAGTTATGACCTAGTTTAACTCACTTTTTTTTCTATTTTTTGGTCCCATAATTTCACTTTATATAGAACCAATTACTTGCCTACACATGTATTTAGTTAAAAGATCAGAGCCGAGGCATATTATGTAAGAAAAGGGAATTCTTTATTCTTATAATTTTTTTCTTCCCCAAAGTTCTACCGGTTTCTATTTTTCTTACTGACTATACTAGAATACATACTATGTTGTTTGTAAACTTTTCATGATACATTATTGATATGAAAATATTAATATAGAACTTATTATTAAACATTAGAAATTGTATATTTTTAAAGACCTTTAAACTAGGGTTTAATTCTCAAGATTTTATAGGTATATGTACTTCAATACTATTTAATAAACTTTAAGGGCAGAGGTAAAGAAAATCAGCTGTTTAGTTTTTGCCAACCAGTGCAATGGAGTAATATTTTTCACAATAAAAACAGAAATAAAATAAACAGGGCACTATATGGTAGGTTAAGAATCGTGTTTCAATTATAACTAGACAAACTCGTGGTCAAATTAATAATCAGTGTCTTGGGGCTTTAGTTTTTTTCACTGATAAAGTATAGGAAGGCTGACCAGATGATCTTTTGGTGGTTCTCTTCAGTATAAAAATTCAGTGGTTTTAAGGTACTACACACATAGTAAGTAGTACCTTTACCTTACAGATTCCTCTTCATTATCTGCATGCCGATTATGATTATCTACTTTCCAAGTATTTTCCTATTGATTTCTCTTTCATGACACATTTTCAACAAATGTAAGGCATGAAGGAGAAACACACATCTTTAAAGAGATTGCAAGAGGATATATCAGGCAAGGTAGATCTCTGGTGTAGACTGGATCAGAAATACACTGAGAAAGAATTTCCCCAGGAAATGCATAGTCCAAAGGATAGCATGAAGGTAGAAAAGTTTAGAGTTTGTCTGATAACTGAGAGGTTGACCAAGGAACATTGTTGGGGTGTGTGTGTGCAGGTTCAAGCCAAATGTGAGACTGGCAAGAAAATGTGGGTCAAACTGTACAGCCAGATTTTATGTTATGGGTTTAAATTATATTTATTTTTCAATTGGAAATCATCAATTTCATATTTTCCTCTATGTCAGAATAGAAAGAGTCAAGTATATAGATAGCAGTGGACACACTTTAGGTTATAGGAGACAAAGTACAAAAATTCACAAGACAAAATACAAGAATTCAAGATGATTATTAAATAGGTAACATGCAGGTGTTTGAAAAAACAAAGTGTCCGCTTTACTTTCAGCTGGGCACCGAAGGGTTGCTGAGGACTTGTGTAGAAATATAATCTATAGAATTATATCTTTTTTCCACTAAATTTCTACCACCCCAGGATGCTAATAAATGCATTGGATGTCCAAAACTAAGTGTGAGAGAATACCTGACATCATGATTTATGAGATCCATTTAAATTTGAAGGGACAGAGGCCAAAAGGTAGCAGGCAAATTCATGAAGAAGTGAAGTGGTCAAGGTCAAAAACTGTTAACAGACCGTTATTTATTTTCTTAACAGATACCTATGTGAACTGATAAAGGTGAAGAAATTTATGTATGCAATTACTAACTCATCTAATCCTCATATCTACACCATGACACAGTCACTATTTTATGATCCCAATTTTACAATTTGGGAGACTAAGTCCTGGAGAGGTTTTTAAACTGGACCAAGTTAGCGTCTACCTGGGATTCATGTTTAATCAGTGTTTAGAGTCCAGGTTCTTAAGTACTACTGTGCTCTACTATATTTAAATGAGACTAGGAAGTGCACAAAGTCTGTGGTCAAGAGAAATTCTGGAGTTTACTATTTTAGAGTAATAGCAGTTCTTAAATGTTATGAGCTTTGGGGGATTTCAACAAAGGTAGGTGGTGCAATCCACCACCTGGTGGGTGGTATTAAAGGTTAGGAAGGCAAGGCATCCCTGGTGTCATGTCCTCTTCCATTCATTGGAATTGTTGGAAATTGATACCAACAAGGGAAGATTAAAAAGTGGAATGCCCTTGTAGCACCAACACCAGAGAGACAGAGCAAAGAGATAGACAGACACAGAGACAAGCACACATTCTTTCTAAGAGCACATGGGGACAAGTTAATAAACACCTTCTACTTGATAATTTCAGGACAATCAAGATCCTCAGAGAGAAATTAGGATGGGGTTAAGAAATGGCTTGTAATAGGTAGAAAGCTCAAGAACGTTTGTTCATTAGTTTCTTTTCTATAGGATAAGCTTTATATGAAACATTATGTAAATATCTCACAGTAAAAGACAGAAAGGGAGATAGAAAGTGGCAGAAAAAAGCGAATAGATGTATAAAACATTATTGTGGGGAAATGTCTTCCTTTTCTAAACTCTGACAGTGATGCATGCATTTTATCTAATAACCCAGGTGAAAAGAATTTTATAAGCACTGCCACTATTCCAGGAAGCACAACAATTATGTCACATGAACTGTGTATGTGTGTTATGGTTTAGATGTGAGATGTCCCCCAAAAAGCTCATGTGGAGATGATGTAAGAAGGTTCAGAGGATAAGACTGGGTTGTGAGAGTCTTAATTCAATTAGTGAATTAATTCCCTGATAGAGTAGTAATTGAAGTGATAGAGTGTGGCTGGTGGTGGGAATTGGGGGCGTGGCTTTGAGGTATATATTTGTATATGGCAAGCAGAGACTTCCTCTTTGCTTCCCTCTCCACATTCTTCTACCATGATGCTCTACCTCACCTTGAGCCCTGAGGAAGGAGTTGGCCTTCTATGGACTAAGACCTCTAAAAATGTGAGCCCTCAAATTAACTTTTCCTTCTCTACAGTTGTTCTTCTCTGGTCCTTTAGTCACAGCAGAGAAATAGGTAACTAAAACAATGTGTATGAATGTTTACTCAAGAGAAAAAAGTTGCATGAACTGGTGTTTCTTTAAATGAGGTCCCTGGGCCAGGAGCATTAGCAAATGTGTCACAAAACCAAATTCCAAGCTCACATGGCAGGTCTGCTGAATCAGATATACAAGAGTGGGGCCCCTGCAAGCTGTGGGCACAGACCTATAGGTGATTTTTATGGGTGATAAAGATGGAGAACCTCTAAATCAACATATATGTATTCCTTTCTACTTAGCTACCTGAAAGTAAGAACCAAATTCAGTATTCACATACAAAAGTTAAGTACTTTAGGTGCTTGATCACACCTATGTCTGTGTTAATTGTAATTGCTTTTCTTTTAATTCTTCTGTTTAATAGGTCATAACCCTTCTAAACTAAACACTATTAAATGCTTTTTAAAGTCTTACTGAGATCTTTTTTAAATCTGTAAAAGAATATATGAATGAATATTAGGAGTTTGTAAGTGTGCATTTGTAGGAGAAAATGTATGACAAATTGCTAAGAAATTGGGTAAGGGGGATTAATTCTGATTTAGTTGATGTGGGAAGGGTAAGGCATTGGCAAAAACACAAACCTGATGGTTGTGATGGATAAACAGAGGATCAAAAAGTAGGAAAACAGAGAAGATGACTAGGGTATCATTTACTTTGAGGAGTTTGATAAAAACCCCAATAGTAACAGAAGAATATGAAAACACTGTTTGGGGGGAAAAAAGGGAAACCATAGGTCAATCTGGTGTAAGCTTATAAAAAGAACTGGGACCTCAAAGAAACAACAGAGCAAAGGGTGCTGATAACTATGAAGAAAAGTGAATGTCATATTGGCTTGACTTGATTCAGCAAATGTTTTTGGATGGCTCATGAGTTCATATTCTGCCTGTAGTGTGGACAAAGTTCAGGTATGTTCAAGAACTCTAACTGAAAACTAAAAAGCATGCTTCTTAGAAATTGCACCTTAAAAGCAACACACTTCCATTTGACCCAGAAATAATTAAACTGCAACAAAGACCACTGGGGAGGATTGATGGGGTCTTTATTCATTCTTAGATCTGGAAAAAATATTTGTCTTTATATCTTTTTAATCATCCCAAATATGGTTCTGATAACACCTGAGCAAACTTTCTCTCTGGCCATTACTTCAAAAGAATTCACTGAACATTAATATTTATGTTGGAGTGAGAAATTTCTGTAGGCTCTTAGGAATATGAAATAAATCTTGAAATGTAAATATGTAACATTTATGAATAATAAATATATATTTAAAGATGATGTGCACATGGTTTATTTATAACCTAAGCAGGTGTGTCTCTTGAATATCATCTTATTTTGGTAAACTCTTTATTTGGAGGAGAAACATTATCAAAAATTAATAAAATTGAACTAAAAACACTTCCTAATGATAACTTAGAAATATCACAATGTTTTACATTTACTTTAGAAATATTAAAGTTTGGATTAATTAGCTTCACCATCATTTTAGTAGTAAATTTTTAAATTCATCTTAATGATATCCAATATAATCAAATTAATTAGATTATTTAATAAAATTTCAACATTATATTCATTAAAAGCTTTGAGAGATAATAGAATATCAAATGATCAGGTTTAGAGTAATCGAAAAATATTTTCTTGCATTGCAATGAGTATAGATTGCCACCAGAGAGAGCTCAGTCACTATATTTTATGAAAGAGAATAATTGATACTTGCAGCAGATAGGAACTCTCTACCTGTCACAGTGAAGGAACTAAGGTCTTGTTTAATAATTTGTAATATCCAGAGTCAAGTCCTATGAATAAGACTTTCAGATTTGGCATTTAAGTGTTATGTTGGTATTGGCAAAAAAGGGAGTGGGGATTATTAACACTGAAAATTGCAATAGAGATTTATCCATGGGAGAAGGATACAGGCGGGATGTATAAAGGGATAATTTTTGGCTCACTAATAGGAACACCTCTTCATACCATACCACTTCACACCAGAATCAATACTTTTTCACCAAAGGATGCTTTGTAACAGCATCATGTTAACTCAAAAGAATGAGGACTTTCTTTAAAAGTCATGTAAAAGAAAAATATGCTTAAGAAATCACTGGCTATAAATGGAACTTAACAAATTGAAATTGATAAGTCTTAATATTATTAATTGATTCTCAGGAGGAGGAATTTATATTGTTAAGCAAGGTTACTTAATTTACAAAAAATTTAGACAAGCATAGTTGGTGCAATTTTAAGTTCATCAATATCCAGTTGGTTCCCTTGCCTCCAACCACAAAAAGCAAATTAAATGAAGAAACACATACACTCAAGTTTATCCTCAGGTCTTCCTCTTTCAAGGAGAGACAGGTAACAGACAATGTCCTTCAGGTGGATTACTTCTGGGGAACACGTATTTGCAGGAGAAGTACGGGGAGGAGTGATGGCACCTTTATTCATTCTCAGACCTGGAAAAATACATTTAAAAACATTCAAAGTGCTCTCAAATAAAAAAAAAAAAAACGAATAAAGAAAATAGATAACACACAAACTATATAAACACCTACATATTTATTTGACAGAGAATGACCCACTTCTGTGGAACTCCAGTACAGAAGAGACACATATGTCCACTGACTGGAATGTAAAATAGAGAACACTTTGGGATCCAGGAACATGAGGGCTGAGCTGCCTGAACTAGGTATTAGGATCAGGATTCTGTTGTCCAGGGTGAGCTGGCATACCATTTCTACTACACCTTTCTCTGTCTTAGGCAATGACAGATAAAAATTGGCTAGGAAGACAATGGAAATCAGCCTTTCACAAAAACTGAAGAAATATGAGTATGTCAAATTGTGATCTATATATTGATAATAAGTAATCATTCATTCACAAAACAAGTATATATGTCAAATATTTCTGAGAACCATAAATAAGACATCCTTTATGCCATCAAGGAATTTGTGGATGAGTAAGAGTGAAGAGAACATAAATAGTCTAGATAATTATGATGGACATTTAATTAAGAGGTAAAAGCACATGACTACAGTATGATTTTAACGTGGTTCTCACTTCATTTCAAAAACCTTATTTATTGCCTTGTTTCAAGACAAGGGTAGAGACAACATGAACATCTATTCACAACTGATGGTAATTGCTGATTTTCTATCTAATCTAACTACAATTTGCTTACAATAAACTTAGTCCTTTCTTACAGAGAAGTCTCTGAAACCAGACCATGTGTGCCTTAGAATGCCTGAGGGTAAATATCATTATATTTTGAGGTCAATTTGGCAACAACAGGGATATTTGGTTGGAATACCTAAAGGGCTGAATGGGTGCAGGATTCCTAATTGACCAGTAGAGAATGGAAGGGAGGGAATAATCCTAATCAAATATAGTTTTGTAAGCCTGTCTTTTTGGTACCACAGATATGCCTTCCTGTTCATCTCTTAGACACTCATTTCTTTAGGTATATTATATCAATTGAATACCTATCCTCTCACTCTGCTATCTTTAAGATTGTCAGGCATATAATTTAATGTTTTATGAAATGTCTTGTTAGTTTTTCCATTATCAATATTACTAATAAAATATATGATTAATTGAATGTATAATATATAGCATGATGTATGGTAGGGGCTTTAATACATACCACTCAATTCTCATATTAATCCTATAAGAGAGATTGAATTTTCCCCCTTTTACAGACATATGCATATTAATTTACCAAAGTTGCATAGACAGCAAGAAAGTCCATTCTTTTTATTCTACAAAAGTGGTCTATAAAGTAATTTTTCTTCAAGGTCAATAAAAAGAGAATTTTTTTTTTAAAAAAAGAATTTATATCTTACCCCAGCACATGTCACACTAGTGAGTTTTAATAAATGCCCAAGTATTTTCTCCTCTGTGCTGACCTACCATTATTCCATTTTACCTTATTTCATCTTCCAAATTCTGTCAGAGACCCTTTAACCTGAGTTTACTAGCCACTGACAAATCACATCCAGTTTCAAAAACAATACTTTATATACTTCCTTCATTTTCTTTACCAAAGTTTTACTTATCCCAGGTATCTGTACATTCAACTTTAACACTACTCCCATTCATACTTATGAATAAAGGGACATAAATTGTAAACGGATTTTTCTTCATAACACAGATATTACTATATATCTCTAATAAAAGTATTAACTATTTTTATAAACCAAAGAAGGCAGAAAATTAAAGATAATCCTGAGCTTTAAAAAAATACCCCAAATAATTGGGACTATGCAATTAAAGCTTAGCCATCTGCAGAAATAAGTTCCAACTTGTGATAAAAGACATTTTGGCACTGACCCTTGACACAACCTTAACTTGCAGACTTGAAGAACACAGAACTTGAATTATGGTTGGATAAACTATGACCTAACTCATCCTGCCAGATGAGCTAATCCTCTTTCTCCCTGTGGTACTGAAGTGATTTAATCAGCTCAATTTAATTCTTTAATACAAAAACTCACAACAAAAAAAGGAAGAAAGAAAATAACAAATTGTCTCATTTATTTGAAAGAAATCTAAACATTTTATGTTTTCACTTGTTTAGAAGTTATTAAATTTTCACTCATTTAGAATGATAATTTGTACTCATAAAAAATAAGGTGCATGATATTTGGTTAACTGTTTTCATAATACAGCATTGAATATAAGTAATTAGAAAATGTGATGACCACATGATTCTCTGTTTTTCCCCCATATATTGAGTAGGAGCCTACACAAATACATTTATCCTCAGTTTTGAAGTAGCATATTCCTGTACTAAAATTGTTTTTGTTGGAGAAAAATATTTACCTTTTTATATTCATGACATTTTCTTAAAAGTCCTAGCATACATTGAATTGTGTCATAGTTTTACATTAAAAATATAAAACAAATAGTCATCTATCTAAAGAATAATTTGAAGAACTAAGTAACTCTCCCAATAACCTAATTGTAGTCAAATTCGAGAAGGAAACTATATACTTTTTTGTTATGACTTATGATAGCGTGCATCAAAGCATGAACTGTCAATGACCTTTTTCATAAATACTTGGTAACAAAAATTTATAGAACTGGACCTTATTAATATTCTAAGACTTTTTATTTAGTGAAGCTTTAGCCTTATAGTAAACTTGGGGAAGATACAGATATTTCTCTTTCAGTTCCCACACATGCAGCCTCTCCTTCACTATTGACATCCCTTCAGAATCCTTTCTAACAACTGAAGAATCTATACTGACACTTAATTCCACAGTCTACATTAGGGTTCACTATTTGTGTTTTACCTTCTATGAGTTTAAACAAATGTGTTGCTACCATAGCCTCAAACAGAGAGATTTCACTGCACTATAAATCTGTGTTCTGCCCATTCATCTCCCAACTTCAACGTCTAACAAAGCTCTGATCTTCTTATTTTCTCCTTAGTTTGGCCTATTTCAGAATATTATATAGTTGGAATCATATAGCAGGTAGCCTTTCCAGATTGGCTTTTATCACTTAGTAATATGCAAATAAGTGTCCTCTATGACGTTTTATGAGACAATGGTTCATTTCTTTTTAGCACTAACGTTCCATTGTCTGGATGTACCACAGTTTTTCCCTTCACTGACTTTATTAAATTTTAGGGTGATTAATGAAAAAGCCCAGAAGTTTGTTCCTGCTCCCAATACTCTCCTCAAGATCAACCCACTTTCTCTTAGGTAATGACAACTTTTCTTCATGTTTTCATTTCATTTACTGAAAGCAGGCCTTGGGATTTATACCCTAATTAACCCTTTACCTTTCCCATTTCCCTAAGTCTAGCTGAGGTGTCTCCACTACTTGTTTTTCCCTGGTACAGTTTATTACTTTTTTAAGCACTTTGTGTAAATTATCATGAAAAAGCACAGGAAACAACACATAAGAGATTGCAAGCCTACTTTCTTGACTACAGCTCCTCAGTGAGATGATAAGCAGCATCATTTATTACTTCTTAGCAGCAATAGCCTGTGATGAAGAGACTCAAATCTTTTTTAAATTTTTTTTTATTTCTTTCATTTTTTCTTTTCTTCTCTTTCTTTACCCTTCCATCATTCTTTTTTTTTTCTTCTATTCTAGGGTTCAAACTCAGCACCTCACCTGTCCTAGGCAAGCACTCCACTACTTAGCAGCATCCCTAGCCAAAGAGGGTCAAAATTAAAAAAAGACTATTTACCTCTTCCAAAATTGGTGAAATTCTCACTTCAGAATTGAAAGAGAACAGGAAGTTAAGCAAAACAAAAGGTGTTTTCTTTTGCCTCATAGGTAGCTCTGAAGATCATGTGATTCATTGATACTCAATTTCTGGTTCTCTCACCTGCCCCAGGTCATACTATTTTAAATATTTCATCACAAAAGTGAAGCAAGAGCAAACCCAGAACACATGATAAATGTCCACATGCCCCAAACATCTACATATGTATATATACTCATGATGAAGTACACAATAAAAACATTGTAATTACAGTGAGTTTTACCAGGAATAATTATTCTGTACTTAGCACCTTTCTGTGTTTTTAAAATGATTTGATGCACACATACAGACATACATAGAGAACATTCTTCTCAATATTTTCATTATAAAGTAGCATTAATAAAATTGAATATCACATACTATTATCATTTCCTTCAAGCACATGGTTTTCATTCTACTCCAATCTAGACATTTTACTTGAAACAATAAGCTAAAAAGTTTTGTTCTAATAGATATCTTTAATTCTGACCTTAAGGTTCAGTTATAGCAAACAAGTTTTTAATACATGTTAAATTGGTACCTCTGATGCAGTTTGTTTTATTCATTTCAGATAATTAATAGGTGGCATTATCTTGTTTCCTGTCATCTTTTACAATGAAATAGGCAAAATTCATGCAATGAATTACATTTATAAACTTCAGAAAATAATAGCAACTTTGCTTTTCCATTTTTTTATACTGCTTCAATCTTCAGAAGTATTTCAGTCTTACAAAGCAATTTATCACATAGTACTGGGGTATAGTTATATTTCCAATATCCACAAAAAAGTCAGGTGGCGCAGCATAATCAAGAATAGAAACATTTGACAGAGTACTGCCATATATTTTATGATCCTCACACTTAATCTCTTAATCTTCCAAATATACTTGTCTAAGGATGGTATTATAATTGTTTTCTATTCTTTATGCTTACATAACTGGTGGAAAAATTAAATATACCAGATAACAAATCAATAAGTAATGTAAAATAGTCATTCCTCAAAATGTGAGTACAGTCTGTGGGATGTCATCCCTGATGTGAGACTGGGGCCAGACATATCTCCCTGAGAATGTAAGCACACTCTTGGATTCATCTATCTGGAGATTGGCATAAAAGTCTGAAAAAAGCAATTATATGTAGCTGACTTGAAGAAGAGCAGGAGTTAGGGGGTACTGTTCTAGAAGCATTGAATAAGTT